ATAAACTTATAGCTTCATAAATTAATATTATAAAAAGTTTATTAAAAAGGAACTTTTTAAACAATTTTTTTTTTTAAACAATACAATTTTAAAATTTTACATCGAAATAAATTTATCTAATATATATAACGTGTAAAATTTGTTAAGGTATATAAATATTACATATTAATAATCTGTGTTTTTTGTTAATATATTCTGGATGCATTTAACTATTATTGACATATTTCCTTATAAATAATAGAAGATTCCTAAATTTATATCTATTGACATATTTTGCGTGATTAAGTTGGAAGGTGTTGGGTAATTTACCAAAACAAAATTGTTAAGCATATTATAAGATATAATAATGATAATATTATTAGAGAGTTAATGTAACATAACTTTTTGGTAACAGTCCATTTTTAAAAATATCACACATGAAATCAAGTCATGACTTCTGTTTTAATATATAAGATTACTAAATCTTAAACCTAAATGTTAGGTTTAAATGTTAGTACATTTTTAATATGTGATATTTTGAAAAATGATATTTAACTTGAGGTATTTCTAACAATTTTTCTATATAAAAACTGTGACTATACGGTAGTGCAACTACTTTCTATAATATTTCCAAATTTAGGGTGCTTTTTTTGACAAGAAAATTTAGTGTACAGTAGAACCTCTATAAATTAATACTCGATAAATTAATAATCTCTCTAAATTAATAAATTTTACCGGTCCCAACTTGGACCGGTTCGAAATTTGACACAAATTGATAAAATAATAAGATAATATTTTTTTAGAAATTTCTATGTAAATATATGATCCCATTAAAATCATAAATTAATAATTTATATTTATACATATTTTATATAAGTAATAACTTATTATTATATTGTTTGTTTTATATTTAAAAGGGAATTCTCTTTATATTTTCTTGACACTTAATAAACTGTTGATGAGATTTAGTAATATTATATCTAAAACCATATTTAAATTCAATGAAATATATATTATATACGCCAAGTAATATAAGAAATTTAATATAAATGTCAAATTTCAAAAATGATAATAAATATCTATACACTAAAATAAAATATTTGTTTTTTATTTTAGAATAAATATATCTTAAAATAAAAAATCTAAATAAGGAAATTTTGGTAAATTAATATCTCTATAAATTAATAAAATTTCAAAACCCGACATTATTAATTTATAGAAGTTTAACTGTAATTGGTTACTACTTTTTTAAAATGTCTATGTTTATTTATTATATATATATTATATTTAATTTTTTGGGATAGAAATAATTTATAAATTCTTCAGTATTTATCATTTTTTGAAGAAATATTAAATGTATTGATCATCATAGAATAAAGACTTGTTATTTACAAATAGTTTATAAAAACCTTCTAACCAAAGACGTATTCATGCCCAATGTGAGCAGTAATCCAACGCAGTGTTTAACACTTTGTCGTATATAGTTAGCAAAATTGGTGACATTTAAATTTTCAAAAACAATTGTTTAACATTTTTTATTGCACCAAAATAAAGCTTTGCTGTAGCAACCGGACAAAACCTCATGAGACGTGGCGTGATTTTCGAGGAATATATTTCTTTATACTTCTATATTCAGTTGCCAACTGGCCAGTTATAAAGTGGCACAGTGCCAAATCAATCTAAACATATAGTTTACTAAGCTAACCATGGTGATAAATCATGTTTGGTAGTGGTAATGAGACTTTTTATAATCAACATCCAGATAAAACGTTAGACTGGTACTCATACTAGAGTAAACTGTTTTTGAGTACACTTTTTAAATGTTTTTAGAGTACACATTTTAAAATGAGGAACACATTAAATTCACGACGGATCTTCCAAAACACATGCACGTCAACTACGTCAACAAGTGTAACTTAGGTTATTTTCTCAAACCTAAGTTATTTTCTCAAAAGGTTATTTTCTGACCAAAAAAAAAAGGTTATTTTCTCAAACCAAATTCTAAAATGTCATAGATCTTTAGAATCCTTAAACCGTCTTAAGTAAGGTAGCAAAGTCATAGATCTAAAGAATCCTTAAACCGTGTCTTGAATAAGATAGCAAAGTCATAGTTCTCTTGAATCATTTGACATATAGAAACAGAATCTTAGATCCTTAATAACCAGAAAATAGTATCTTAATTACTGATTTTTGGCTGTCCATCCATATTAAGTGGAGCCTCGTGCCTTCAAATATATAATACAGTATTTATTGTATTTATGACACACTTGTTTTGTTTTTTTTACCTAGCTGTTACATTATTTAAGTTGAAAAGTAAGGCAAGGACGCTGCAGTGATTTAATTTAATTTGTTATATTAAACTTGATTCTGATTCGAAATATTTGTATATGAGTATTTGAAGTTATATAATCTGACCTTGGATCTTGGCTTGTTATGGAATATGCTACATATGCTCCAATCATCATACATCCACATTCCACACTAGTCTGCCACTCAACCTCCAGCTTTCCTAAGCTTAGTAAGCTACTGTTTTATATTATTTTCCCTTATGCACAGATTAATATATTGTTTAAGTTTTGTATAACTAACTAATTTATGTTGTTGTTTTATTAATAATAAAAATATATGCATGGTCTAAGCCCGCATGCCCGGTCCGAGCATAGACAAAGAAACCGACCGCTTAGGGCATCTCGATTTTGTATAACAATTTTATATGTATATGAGGTACTATAAAACAAATTATGAAAGAACAGGGGCATCAATTTGTAGTTTATAGTAGGGCATTACAATTTTTCTTTTTTAAGTTGGACCGGCCTTGTAAGCACGTAAACACATAATTTTTCATTGTTTTTTTTTTGTTACTAAACGTATGACAAGCTTAAGGTGGTAGGTATTTGTCTCTTTGACTGTCGAATATGCAAGTGTCTAGATTATTCTGACTTCTTCTTGATCCTTGGTTTAAGGTTTTTTCGTTGTAGTTAATTAAGATGATTGTTGTTTTCAACCCAATTCTTCAGGTGGTTGCTTAAACCGAAAGTGAGCCTTAATGTTCTTTTAATATTGACGTAAAATCACAGCGTCTAAAGCAAAATCCAATTTTGCAACCTTATGGGCAATACATCATCAGGATTCTGATATAAAATCACGGTTCAAGGGTTAGACTTTGACGAAAGCTTTGCATTACAACGTTGCGGAACAAACTTGCTAAACTAATAAATTCACTTATTGGTCAAGATACGGTTACTAATCGCATTTTACACACAGCTTTCAGTTGCCGTTTAGACATGTACGATTTAAGCGTCACCTTGTTGGTCTCTATATGACCTATGACCACTTTTGTGTTCGGTTGTTTCTTAAAAATAAATGCTTCACCAAAACATTAAATCATTGCAGATAGCTCTCATTATCATATACTAGAGCTTTTCTCCCCGCTTCGCACGGATTATATATTATGAATGGTTAAACCTATCTTTTTAGTAATCTGTCTACTGTATCTTTCTGCAGTAATAAAAGTATGCATACACGTAAAAAGATAATGCAACTTTTATTTTTCATAAAAAAAAAGAAATAGAAAAATTTGTATAGTGGTTTTATTTAGGCATGTCCAGTCCAGAATTCGGTGTAGTTTCGGTTTGGTTTTTCGGTATTTTAGTTTATAAAAATCAGTAACCATATTTAAACCATATCTAGTGTGGTTTGGTTGGTAATATAGTAGCGGTTTTCATTTTAATCGGTTTTATGCCAAAAAAAACCAAAATTAGATTTATTTTTTAATAAGAAAATTAGTTTATATAATTAGAAGTAAGATTTATTAAAACATACATACATATTCTTTACTCTAACTTTTAAATATAATATTTTCTGTTTTATTTAAATATTAAAATTAATAAAAATAATATCAATATATATTATAGCTCAAATTTTACCAAAGAAAAGTTATGTATTATTTAGTTTGATGAAAATGAGAAAATATCCTTTTTACCTTAAAAATAACAAAATATTATAATCAATGTTTAGTTATGAATATTATATTAATAAACACAATTATGTATATATTATTAATTTTATTATTAAATTTATAAATAAAAATATTATATATTTTAATTTATCGGTTCTTCGGTTTATTCGGTTTCCATATACTGCGGTTTCTTAAAAATATCATCCATTTTGTTTACTCGGTACTGCCAAATCTAAAGCATAATCTCAATTTCAGTTCAGTTTGGTTTTAATTGGTTCGGTTTTTTGCCATACTGAACACCTTTTATTTATACCAACTACTAATCTTGAACTCAATCCTAAGAACATTATCAATGCACTTATTCATATAAATGGAGAGTTCTGATTTTCTCTTAAAAAATCTCTTATAGATTGGAATTTGGGTACTATAAAACTTAAATAAGGCCCTTTCCCTATAAAACATAATTATAATTAAACAAAAAGTAATATGATTAACACACTAAAAATATATACGTAGTTAGAGGTTTTTTTCTGCTTATTTATCCTTCAGATCCATTTATTTCTAATTGCACACTTTCTTAGGGTAAAAGACCTAAACTGTTTGTATAAATATCATTGGTTTTAGTTGCCATATATATAATAGGTACATAGTCTTCAGACAGCTTTCAGATTTGTTTTGGCAAGACACTTGTAATATTTCTCGTTTGTAGACTCTGGTAAGAAGAAAGCGTAGACTATTTTATTAGCTTCTTTAGTTCTTAAACACTTACGACAAAATAAAAACGGTTTTGACTTATTTTCGAATGAAGTAGATGTTCGTATCTTTGTGTTGAATGGATTATTTTCTCTATTTAAGACTAAAACAAAATGTTTGTGAGATCAAAGAGGTGCCACCTATATACATTAGCTCAATGTCAATGCCTTAGTGACCTTTGGCTGCTTCATTTGATATCTTCAAGGCCAAGTCTGTCCTCAATTTGGACGCCACCTTTGAACAGCTTGAGTAATCAGGCCTGCTCTAGTTGCCTCTTCTTCTATCGCTAATACTTATAACCTGCAATCAGTCCCACACTTCCATGATCCATTGCCGCGTTCTACTTCTTTGTCAGTTGCTAAATATTTATTTGAATGTGCAAAAAAAAAACATGCAGACTTGAACATGGGTAGTTTTGTGTTTATTTTATTAGGTATTCATAAATGGAGAGGATAGAAGTTCATACCAAGTTAGATATTCTTTGGTGGGGGAGACTTCCACATCAGAAGAACACTCGAGAGAATTGGTATGTCGCCTGCTGGCTGTTCTTGTTTGCCTTGTACTTATCTGAGAGAGAGGTATTAAAGACCATAAATTTAAGAACACTTGCAATGGAACAGTAAATTAAAAAAAGAGTTTCAGAATCATATCCCAGAAACAGATTCATAAGTAAAAATCATACAATTATTTTTCAACTAATGAGTAAAAACATAATCTGCACATCAAATCCAATGATTTTTGAAATTATTATCCACTCTATATCTGCAACACAAAGCTTTACTTAATAGTGTGTGATTGAATGTGCAATTGTGCCTCAGTTCATACTTTTGAGAACTTTGATATCTTGTAAAAGGACGATTTTCTCATCTATGCTACGGTAGAGGTAACAGATCACTTACCGACACTTACACATCCAAACTGTTGTTCTTATACACCGTTACAAAGAAGGACAACATACTGATAGTAGCAGGTCTGATGAGACTATATGTGAAACCCTGCGAGAAAGTTGTAGAAAGAAAAGAAATCACGTCCGATGAAATGAAATTCTGTCACACATCTAATATATGAAAATGCAAAGCACACATCTTTTTCTTAAGCAAAAGAAGTTACCGAAGGCAAAAAAAAACAAAATGTTTTGTAGAAGATAAAATTAAAGGGACATAATCAAGAAGACACAACACAATACATAGCATAGAAAACAAAAAAAAGGTCAATGCAGCTGCATCTGACAGGCTTCTAAACATATTAGTAAGTAGGTTTGATCAGACCTTCAAATCTAACACTGACCAAGGAAGTATGTTATTTCAAAAGGGAATAATGCATAAGAGAGAAATCAGACGATCAAATTGACAACATGTAACCATATAATTTGAAGGAACTCGACTATGCTACAAATCGAAAGATCATAGTAGAGAAAATGTAAAGGATTAGTTTCTTAAGCCTCCCTAAAGAGACAGACAACATCATTTTCTGAAGAAACTGAAACAAAGCTTGGATGGACAGTGCGCTTAGATCCGAAAAACCTTCCTCGAAGGAGAATAAATGGCTATAAAGAAAACTAGCGAATAAGAATAGATGAAGATCTTACAGATGCCATAAGGATAGAGCCACTCAAACCCCCAAGGCGACGTTTCGGTATTTTGGTATACTCCACATCATCGCTTCTTTGTGGAGTTTGAGGCCCCAAGGAGTGAAGGCGATGGAGGGGTTTGTGATCTTCCTCTGCAGCGGCGCTTGCGGATGGAGGCGGAGGACAATCATCATCAGCTTTTTAGATTTATATAAGTGAAACGACAATCAACATATATGTACTGAGTGAAATTATGAATGGAGGCTTGATTGCTCAGAGATGAAATCATGTTGATTGAGTGACGATCAGTTAGAGAAAAGATAAGATGAAGGAGCACATGAGAGGCTACGGGATTCATCGTTCATCGATTAGTGTTTTTGGGTTTGGGTTTAATGGGCCAACATAACTAAATTATAGAAGCCCAAATGTATCACCAGTCATTTGTGACGTGACAAAATAAAATATTTTGATTGATCAAATATTTTTTCTTATGTGGTATAGCTTTATTAAGAGCTTTAATAGTGTGTGATATTATACTCATGCTCTCCTTCTCTCTTCACCAGTGTATGTAATTATATTCTCATATATATATATATATATCAAATGTCTTGCTGTTTTTTTCGTTGCTAAGGTTTTTTTTGTAGAGCCAAGGTGTTCTATATACCAACTTGTATGAGAAGCAACTGCCACGGATTCCTCTATAAGAAACTGTTGGTGCTGCGTGAGAGAGATGCCTCGGTGTGTATCTGATTTTATTCATTTTTACATTGTCTTTAGACTCTTTACAAACTATATTAACTTGAGCTTCAGGCTTCAGCACACTAACATGTATACCACACAAAAACATGCCATGCATTTTGGCAGATTCTAAGAACCTCGTAGGTTTTTACCAAAATAGAGTAAACAAGCACTATTTTTGGTCTATGAAGCTTGGAACCCAGTGAAGACAGTTACATACGCCCATCCACTTCCCATATCCAGTTCCTCTTTCCTTGCTCTCTCTCTTTTATATATGTTTCTTCGCTTTTTGTGCAAGAGAAAATTACAAGATATGACTTAAAGTAGTACTTGATTGTGAAATAAGAATAGAGCAAAGAAAGAACAAAGTGTTTCAAAAAAAAATATATAGAAAAGAAAGAGCTAAAGAAGGCTCTCAAATGATCCCTACTTGATAGATCGTTAGTTACCTCGACCTCTTCAGTCTCGACTAGGGGAACATAAACCATAGGGTGATACAAAACGCATCAAAATCATCAGATAACATAACGTAGTGTAATATTAACAAATCAACTACTAATCAAATGAAACGAACAAAAATATTCACATAATTACATATATATATATATACATATTTGGTGATTAAACTATTCACATAATTACGTTCTTGGTGATTTCTTATAAGGATCTAATCCTAGACGAAGCTCAAGATCTATCACTTCTGCACTTTGGTACAAAGCTTTTTGAAATATTTTCATTTTCTTCTCTTCTTCACCTCCCAAATAGTCTCCACTTTTATTATTGACTTCTTTTTCTGTTGGACCAACGAAGAACGGCAATTCAATCAGATCTTGCTCGAACCGAGTTCTTGAAGTGTTGCATATGGAGTCTTCACGATTATCTTCTTTTCGGTTCGCTTGTCGTAGCTTTGCCCTGTCTTTTCTGTGGATGTTCATGTGCCCTCCTAAAGCTTGTGCGTTGGAGAATCCTCTCTCGCAAAAATCGCATATGTATGGTCTTGCTTGTCCAGACCATGAATATGATCGTCGATCCAAGTACTTTCTATTCATTTGTTGTATATGATTGAGAGAGTATATAAATAAAAGGAATACAAAGGGGATGTTTTAGTTTCTGAAGATATGTAAATTTGATAAATCACAGGGTGATGTTAGATAATGAGAATGGTTAGATATTCAATTCAAAATATATATACATTGTGAAATGATCGTGAGCATTGTTATATAAAAGTCAGTCGACGTTTAGATAGCGTGTGTTGATGATTAGTTATTTTATTGGTTTGATGTTTATCATTTTTCGCCTTTGTATAAAATACTAACATATCAACCGACAATAGTTACTATATTATTTAGAAATATATAAGAACATATTTTTCAATTTGGGTTGTAGCTAAATGATGAGTATTAGTGTGGTCGATTTACCATGATTCGAGTTCAAATTCCATAGTTTGCTTGTGAAATGTATATGGATTTCTTATATATAAAACACTTAGAATATGAATTTATTAGAATGATACTTTATATATGTAGATTATTACAATAATAAAGGAAAAATGCAAATATCAACACATGAGTGATGTCTTAATAAAATGTAACATACACACACGTACGAGCGGGCGATACGTCGACGACATGTATGTTTCGAATTTTCATTGATCGGTTTAATGATTAGAGACATAAAGATTTTGAAACTCTATTACACAACTATATCTTAATGAGCTCCTCAGTAGACTTTTCATTCGGTTAGAGAGATAAAGTCATAAAACTATAAGCCGACAACAAACATCTTATATACCCTAACTAGGATTAGACCCGCGCCTTGCGCGGGATGAGATGATTAAATTTGTTGTATTTTTAAAGATAAGAAGACATTATATCTGTTTTATTTGCATATTAGTTTGTTTTGGATTGGTGGTTTTGGGTTATAATATCGTCCAATTATATATCTATATTATAAATATTGTCTTTTTGGTTAAATTGCGATTTTGTCTCATATATCTGTTTTTTTTGTCATCCACGCGACATGGAAACACGTAAGATGAAAGTATATTACGGTCAACACCATTAAGAGTATTGAGACAATTCCAAATCTCCTTTTAGTCTCGAGATGGGTCGCGAAAAGGCTCATTTCGAGAAGCAAATTCTCGACTTGTATAACGAAATTTCCAATCTCAAGAGCCCTTAAACCTTTCACATATATATGTCGACAATTTGTTCAATAGCTCATGTCCACGTCCTTTCTTATGGATACAAAAATCGACGTTAAAAACTTGTGCCCAAAAGTCTAAAACTACAGAACCAATCTCACCAACCTACGTAGTGAAGATATAGAGTTTTCAGAGCACCACTACTATACGGACTTGGGATCTCTCGAAGACAACACACTTCACCATTTAGATCTACCCTCAGTACACTAACTACCTCAAACTTAGCAAGGTTGAGTTCAATCTCTTCACGCTACACACGAGTCATGTCCAAACCAAGATCGCGTTCATGGGCTCCGGTACGTTGCCCTTCATATCCATCATCTTAGATACGTCCCACCTCCCAAATAACGATGTTCCAGAACTTTGACATCGACCCTCAAGCCAATTCACTTGCCTCCGAACTTGTCTCACGCGATATTGAATTTTGTAGTTTTAAAGTATCTCGTGTGTTTTATAATTGAAGTAAATAAGGTAATATATTGTGAGAAGGTAGTAAATAAGGTAATAAATTGTGAAAAGGTAGTAAATAAGGTAATAAATTGTGAGAAGGTAGTAAATAAGGTAATAAATTGTGAGAAGGTGGTGTGAAAACATTTAATGCAAAATGCTTCTCTTTTAATATATAAGGGATGATGACGGCATTTCTTTAGTTAATAACTTGTTAACTTAAATAGTATTTCTACCTTTATGAGTGTTTAAAGAGGAAGAAGTTATATATACGCGCGCTTACGTCGTATATAGTTTCTTGAGCAAGAAACTATAGAACAATTCTGCGCTAGTGTCTTGTACTTATCCAACAATTGATTGATGTAGACAAACCTTACAATCTCCATAATGTTAGAACTTGTCAACAAAGGGTTATGGTTTCTAAGAAGCAAAGCCGTTCCTAGAAAATTGAAGATCAGAAACAAATTAAAAAAAAAAAATTGGCCGCTTTTGTGTAGGTTCAAACCTTGGTTGGTCTAAGAGAATCTATAGCTTTCAGATTTTACCACTAGATTAAAGGAGAATTTAGAAAAGATGTGGCCGAAATTATGTCTATTATGAAACAGTCGGAAGCCACTGCTTCTTTGGCTTAGCCCAACCGGCTCTGCTAAGAAGAATTCTAATTTGAACATTTCATTTACCGACTTTTCAATGTTGGAGTTTCACATGTTTCTTTATCTGCAACACAAAGAAAAAGTACTGGAATATGATTGTTAGACGTTTTGATCATAGTTTCCAAAATATGAATTATGACCAATACGGCAATACCATATATATAAACACTCCAGAATTTGTTGGTTCATCCAACGGGTTAAAATTTTAGTTTAGCTTTGGTTATTATTAACAAACAAACGTTGGGCCTGTCGGGGGCTTAAGTGTATCTTTTTTTTTAGTCAAGCAATAACACTCTCCCTTACGGAAAACGCAAATTAGGACCATGATTAATCTATAATAACGTTTTTTAGAATGATAAAAACTATTTTTTAAATAATAAACATAAGAATTGGTTTTTATTCAAAAAGGTATAAAAAATTAATAATGTCAAATCATGAATTAAAAATCTCAAATTAAGAATATAGATTAATCATATGTAATGTTTCTCCATTTTACTGATATCTAATTAAATATTGTAATGTACATCAAAATACATCAGCATCGTAACATATCAAAATCAGATCTTATTATTTTATGAGTAATACATCATCTGGGGAGCGCCATACTAATCTACTCATAGAACAAGAGAATACGCTTTGACGAGTTTCACCAAAAAAAAAATCCATAGTCTTCTGATGAAAAAAAAATGAAAAAAAAAATCCACGAACTAGACAATTCTTATACACCAATGATAAAGAACGACGTAGCGTATCTAGATAAACCTACGAGACTTGATTTTAATGTTTTTCTGGCTCCTTTATTGTATTATGTTTTGGTCAATTACATGTGTGGGACATGTATATGACCTAGGCTTGACATTTTTCTTTGGATCAAGCCATACTTTTATTGATAAGTGAACCTCAAACTCCAGTTAGGGAAAAAGCATTACATATTAACATCTTTTGGGCAATTACATATTAACATTTATGTATGTATTAATATATGCAATATCTAGAAAACTAGGAGAGGGCACAAGCCGAGTACTTAGTGTTTTCGGTATATTTAATATTCGGCTTGGCTGGTACGAGTATTCAAATTTTGGACTTGTATTTGGTTTGTTAAAAACGAGTACTTACAGTTTCAAATACTTGTGAAATATTGATGGATTTGCAAGTTACTTACCTTGTTTTATTACTTGTTATTTGTAAAATTTTACAAATTACTTGATAACTATTGGTAAATTATTTGATAATCAATTAACATTTAAAAGTAAATATATTTATTATATATAGATAATATGTCATTGTTTTCATTTTGTCACTGTTTTCTGATTTTTAATCATTTTTGAAATAGATTATATTAAGAAATAAAAAAAATCCAAAATGTTTATAAAATATATCACTTATATTTGATTCATTTAAAAAAATATATATATAAACAAATTTTTTTACTATTATTTAGGAAAATGTATTTTTGCTCATTGACAAAAACGAATAATAAACCAAATAACGCTGAATAATTATTTTTATTTTATTATTTTGTATTTTTTTGTATTTGAAGACAGTTTAAATAGACTAATCAATACACATCTTAGTCAAAACAAGTATTCGACTTTAAGGATCACTAGAGCTTGACCGCACGCCCGTGCGGGTATTTATTTTCACTTTATATATAAAAATATGATTTAAATATTTATTAGTTAATATTTTAAAATTTTTATAAACATTATATTAAAATAGTTTACATGTCGAAAACAAATATTGACCTGTGCATTTTATTAAATTTTTGACAAACATAAAACCATTGATATGTTTGAGAATTGTCTTTTTAACATGAAATTATTTCCAAACTATATAATATTCTAATATTTTGATTACAAATGGGTCATACTTTTAAAAATTAAAATACATATATTTTAAACCTTATAAACTAAATGTGTAAAATTTATATGATACTTGAGAAATATTATATAACTAAAAAAGTTTTTAAATTTGAATTTTCCTAAAATTTAGCTAAATCATTTTTGGAAATATCTTGAATAGAAAAAATAGCTAAATTTGATTTAAGAAATGATTTAATAAATTAAGAAAAGATAATGATTATTTAAATGTAGATTTATTTAATTTTCAGTGGCAATGGATTGTAAATATTGTACAAATTAAGGGTTAATTTAAATTGTACTTCTATTTTAATAGATTACATTTAGTTTTTTTCAGAAATTTAAAAATGATTTATATATTTTCTTCAGATTTAATTGTTATAAATTTAAAATTTATCCAAAATTTTAGGTACTTTTATTTTTAAAAGTTAAAATAAAATTTGGAATTTTAAAGATTTTTTCTTTTCACTTTTAGAATATTTTAAATTTTGATTGAAACTTATTCATATTTTTCATGAAAATTAGCATAGTTTTGATATTAAAAGGAACGCAGTTTTCAAAGTAAGTGTATGAAAGTGAACATTAGCTTGATCTATTATCAACACTGATAGAGACGAAAATGAATCGCATATAGACTTAATTTCTTGGCGACAAAATTTAAAATTTATTAAACCATGTTTCAAATAGGCCGATCTATTTGGTTAGTTGTGATTAGATTTTTAAACTTGTAATATTCAAAAATCCTAACGATTATGATGTGTTTTAATAAAAAAAATTATTCATATAGAATAATTGTTTTAAAGGAAATGGGAATTAATGAAAATATTTATACATTTACAATTTATGTGATATAGGAAAAGGAATATTCCATTCAATAGTTTAGTACATATTTTATTTGAAAGATT